TAGTGGCGCACGCCTTTAATCCCAGTGGAGGCAGAGGCAAGTGGATCTCTGTGGGTTCAAGGTCATCCTGGTTTACACATCAAGTTCCAGGACAGGCTCCAAAACAACCCAGAGAAACCCTGCCTCTAAAAACAAACAATAGAAGGATAAATCCAGAGATTTTTGTCTTCATTGTTGGGAGAAGGAATGAATTACAAAACGTGATAAAACAATTTGGCAATAAATGCAGAGCATGGTGTCACACACGGGTCATCATTCTCAGGTGGTTGAGGCTGGTTAACTGTCACACAAGTTCAAGGCTAGTCTCAAAACACACACGGAGTTTCAGGGCAGGCCAATTTGATCTACAAAATGAGATCACATCTTTAAAAAATAGTTTTTAATTGAAAAGTAAGCTGGGTGTTGATGGCTGTGCCTTCCTAGCACTTCCAAGGCAGAGGCAGGTGAATCTCTTGTGAGTTCGAGGCCAGCCTAGTTTACAGAGGGAGTTCTGGGACAGCCAGGAACGTTTAGACGGAGAAACCTGTCTAAAGAAGACCAAAAAAACAAAAATCAAAATAAACAAAAAACCCAATAATAATAATAACAATAATAAAAGCAATAACAAAGTATTCATGTCAATAAAAAAAAGTTCCTAATTGGGGAGCTGGGGCTGGAGAACTAGCGTGGTGGTTAAGAAGAGCCCTTACTGCCGCAGTTTCTAACAACCTACATGGCAGCTCACAATCATTTCTATCTCCAGTTCCAAGGAATCTGATGCCCTCTTCTGTCATCCTTGGGCACTAGGCACGCATATGATACACATATATACACATATTCAAAATACTTCTACACAAAATAAAATAGAAAAACTTAAGTTCATTTTAATTTATTTGCTTCTTGAGACAGTTTCTCTATGTCATCCTTGTTGTCCTGGCACTTACCCAATAGACCAGGCTGTCCTGGAATTCAGAAGCCTGCCTGGCATGTGGTGATGGGATGAAAGGCATGTGGCACCATGCTAATCTTTAGTTCATTGTTTTAAATCTTATTTCTCTGCCACACTAGAGATCAAGGCCAGGCCTTTGGCATGCTAGGCAAGTATTCTAGTGATCAGTATCATTCCTAAGTTCCCATAACTAGGTTTTGTGGAGTAAAAGAGAGCCCATCTCACTTTTTGATAGGTCCTACCCATCCCTCTCCAGGAAGATTATGTCACTGCATACTCTCCAGTCTGTCAAGCATGATGCCCATGGGTCCTTTTCACAGCTCATTCAGGCACAAAACGTGTGCACCTTCCCAATCCAAGTAAAACTTTATGGACTAGTATATACATGTGGCTTTTGATCAAAGCTTTCACAGTTCACCAGTGTCTAAAGAGAGGGGGTGACAGGACAGATGACTCAGAGGTCAGTCCTCAGCACCCACAAGGAAGCTCACAACTGTCTGTAACTCCAGTTCAGGGTCCAACACTCTCACACAGACGTACATGCAGGTAGAACACCAAACAATTCATGTGGAATAGAAAAAAACCAAAATTGACAAAACTGATATTCTAATGTTAACTCAAAACTAAAACAAACAAAATTGCGTATTTAAAGTTGAAGAATTGGGACTGACAAACATGCACCCCAGGCTTGGCTTGACAGAACACACCTGCAGTCCCAGGTTCCTGGAAGGCTGAGACAGGATTGAAAGCTTGAAACCATCAGGGAAACTCTGCAAGATCCTGCCTCAAAATGAAGTAAGGCAAGGAAGGCTAAGACTGTAGCCCATTTGCCACATCAGCACTTGCCTAGCAATACCAAGCCCGTGGGCTCAAACCCCAGGAGCTACACACACACACACACCTTAAAAAAAATTAAAAGCCAGGACCCTGCTATACTAAAGAATGCTCCTCCCTTGCATGTGAGCTATTGAGGGGCATTCCCTCCCAGATAAATCTCTCCTGCACTTACCATAAAGTGGTCCCTATGGCTTCACCGGGCCTGAGTAATCTAAACATTTTTTTTCCCTGACAGTGTTTCTCTGTGCAGCCTTGACTGTCATGAAACTTGCTCTATAGTGGTCTTGAACTCACAGAGATCTGCCTGCCTCTGCCTCGAGTGTGGGATCTGATCTTAGAAACATCTATGTCAGCTTCCAGGCCTGTCTTAACTTTTCCTACTTGGAAGTTTCCTGCCTTCCACTTAATAAGTACCTATATGCTGCTGAGGATTGACTCCTAATTTAGGAATTAGTTTTAGCTTTTTTTTTTTTTTTTTTTTTTTTTTTTTTTTTTTAATAATCCAGTGCTATTGCTCAGTCTTTTTTAATGACCATCTTAAGCCTCATCTAATTTTTCTCTGCTCTGCTGTCTTAGTCTTAGGGTTTCTATTGCTAATAAATACCACAGCCAAAAGCGACCTGGGGAGGAACAGATTTATTATTTCAGCTTACAGAACCACATCACAATGAAAGAAGGTAGAGCAGGATCCTGGAGGCAGGAACTGAAACAGAAATTGTGGAGGAGAGATGCTTACCAATGTGCTCAGCCTGCTTTATTACAGTACTCAGTGTGTGTGTGTGTGGTGCTGGGGATCAAACCCAGGTCCTCTGGCATGATAGGTAAGTCAGATCTCTGTTGAGTTTGAGGCCAACCTGGTCTACAGACTGAGTTCCAGGACAGCTAGGGATGCAAATTAACACTGTTCCAAAATCAAAACAAAACAAAAAAAACCAAACTCAGCTTAGCCTGGACTCTCTGACAGAGGGTGTCCTCCACCTCCTGATCCAATTGCTCCACTTCGACTTCTGGGATCACAAGAGTAGGCCACCACACCTACCTGAGTATTTCACCATCCTCAGTGTTTAAATGCTTTTGCAGACACTTCATCTTTATAAGGGAAATGAAGCTAGAATAATCAATATTAAAGAAAACAAAAACAAAAGGACCTAAGGCTGGAAAATGAGACTGTAAAGGAAACTGAGGCCTTGCTTCTTGCCCCATCCCTCACCATTCAGTAGACATCTCAGCCCCCACAGGAAGAACCCTGTCAAAGAAACACATCTGCTTCTTTACTTAGCACCGTTTATTGTACTAAAGGTCAGCTTTTTCAGAAAATTCAAGATAGAAAACATCCAAGTCTGAAGAACACATTTACAGGATACCATAGGTCTCCACACTCGGTCAACACAGAGAACAGTGTTCAAGCTTCCAGCTTAACAAGACAAACAAACATAGGTTAAGCACCCTGTACACTGGCTCACAGAATGCTGTGGGCTGAGGAGAGACACAGAAAGGGTGGTGGGAAACATTCACTTTGCTGATCTTAGAGCATCACACTGCACTGGAGTAGACCAGGATGCTGACAAACACACCAACAGTCATCTTCAAAGGAAGAGCACAGCACTGGTGTTCACAGTAACACAGGGACCAGGGAGTGAAATGAAGGCCAGGCATGCTAATTAATGCACATATGCCTTTAATCCCAGCACCTTAGGTGATGGGTGATCTCTGAATTCCAGGCTAGCCTGGCCTATAAATCAAGTGCCAGGACAGCCAGGACTGCACAAAGAAACCCTGCTTAAAAAAAAAAAAAAAAAAAAAAAAAAAAAAAAAAAAAAAAAAAACCTGTACATACCCTGTGATCTTAGCTATGACAAACTGCTTCAACCAAACTACACCCTACAAAGAGAGCATCCTTTACAGTGGTTACATGAAGCTGAGTGCACAATTTTTCTCTTCCTTCCAGTTGACTGTTTTCTGGTGTGCATTCATACCTAACCTTCTCTAACTTTTATCTACTAGAGGAATTAAAAACAAAAATTATGTTTTACAAAAATGTCTGACAGAAGTAATGAATATGAATATTTGAGTATGTAACAAAGGATGTGACCATCCATATAAAACTACTGTGTGCTTTGTGTCACTTTGTGACCCACTGTTGGGAAGGTGTAGCTGAGTGGAGCTTCAAAACAGTCTCCCTCTCCCTGCCCACTCCTGACCCTCAAATCAAAAGTGTGACCAGGCCCTGCTAACAGATATACAGAGCCCAACTGGAATGCCAGGAGTTAACAGAAAGCAACAGAAATTCCCATTCCTGGCAGCAGCTTACTCACAGACAGATTAAACACAGGACTATTCTTTTCTGTCTGTGTAGATGTCAAGTCACAAAACACTTGTGACAGTGACTATGAAAAGCTCATCTGCTTCAAAAAGAAGAGTGCCAGAATGGACGACTTCAAGGCCACACAGGGCTTCAGTATGAGACCCTGACTGTCTCAAAATGACAGAAGGGCAGAGCAGGCCATGGTGCACACATGTGCTCCTAAGTTCAAAACTAGTACCACCTACTGAGTGACTGAGGCTAGCCTAGGCTACAAGAAACACTGTCTCAAAATAAAAACAACAACAAAAAGGTAGAAAGTGCTGAGACATGGAAAATTAGAAAACGTTCTTTCAGCTGGGCAGTGGTGCTGCACGCCTTTAATCCCAGCACTAGGGAGGCAGAGGCAGGTGGATCTCTGTGAGTTCGAGACCAGCCTGGTCTACAAGAGCTAGTTCCAGGACAGGCTCTAAAGTCACACAGAAATACCCTGCCTGAAGGGTGGTGGTGGGGGGGGGGGTAGGTTCTTTCTAAACACAGGACACTAAGCTGCTCCTTTACTTGTACCCTTAAGGCCTTTCTCAGACAAGAAGACAGACCCTCCAAAGTCTTCCATCATGCAGCCGATGGTCTGTTCATCCAACATTCCAGGCTGAAGACTCCTGGCACATTAGGCACTGGGCCTCAAAACATCCATCCCTGCCTGGGTGGGGCCTTCTCAGCCTTCCCGAAGCAGGAGGCGGGTGCCCACTGTTCAAGTGCTACTGCATTTTCCAAATTAAAGGGTGCAGTGCAACCCCGGCTGGAGAGCTTATACAAACACCCTTACACAGAAAGGAAGCAAACTGAAAACCCTTCTGATGAGTGCTTCTATAAAGGGCAGACTCGTGGCATTTTGTGATGTTTATCCTAAGCACCACAAAGCCCAGCGATGTTAACTTTCTTTTACACAATGGAGTATACTTTACTCCGAGAATGAATGAAACATTGTAAAATGGAAAGAAAGTGATCTGTCCTATGTGCAGATTAAGACTCAGAACCATCAAAGCTGGAATTCAGGACCACTAATCTCAATGGACTCCCTCAGGCTCCTCTGCCAGGGGCTGATTTTCAAAGTGCTCTTGGGTCAGCCGCTGTATGTCCTTCCGCACATTTGGGTGGTCTTCCAAATCTTCATAGAGCGACCTGACGATGTCCAGCTGCCTGTAGTTCTCAGGCTTGACCAGGCTTCGTACAACCTGCAGGCACCGCTCTTTCAGGGTATAAACTGCAAGGACAGGAAACCAACCAACAATTACATTTACCTTGTGAATCGCACTGTAAGGTAAACTAAAAAGTGGAACACGTGTGATGGGGTCACTTCGGGTCTCACAGCACTCACAACTGGCTCATGAAAGTGGCCTGGGCCTGAGCTTTTTTTCAACTAACCAAATGTGAAGTGACCCTGGTAACTCAGGGCCTAAGTCTTAAGCAGGACCAGCAATATCTGTTTGTCCATTCCTAGGAGCTCTGGGTTACCCTGCTGAAAAGAGACAAGGTCTCAAAATGTCATTTAAGAGGCCCAGCTTTAGGCAACTATCTACAGGAGACCGCTGCATCAGGTCCTAACAGTAAGCAAAATAATCAGCCAGACTGGAGAGTTTACAAATATAATGAATGGTCTTGTTAGTTTGGGAGTGAGTCTCACATGGCAACAGATGACCAAGACAGTATGTACTTGGTGTAGGGGAACCACTGCTATTTGAACTCACAGGAGGGTAGGACAGAGTGGCTCATACATGTAACTACAGCACTCAGGAGCCTGGGGCAAGATCTCTCTAAATTCAAAGCTAGCCTGCTCTACAAAATATATAAGTCCCAGGTGAGCCAGGGTAATTAAAGTGAGACCTTGTCTCAAATAAAATAAACAAAATTAAAATAACATAATAAATTAGGCATGACGGTACAAGCCTATAATCCTAGCACTCCAGAGAAACAGACAGAAAAAAAAATGGTGGAAGTTTGCTCTGCATATAGAGTTTCAGCTCCGCCACAGATACAGAACCAAAGCCTTTCTCCACAGAGCAAGTATACACCTGTAATCCAACCACTCAGGAGGTAGACACAGGTGGATCTCTGTAAGTACCAGGATGGCTGTGGCTATAGTCAAACATTGCCTCAGGGGGAAAAACAGGGTGGGGAGGCCAGGGAGGCCAGGGAGACAGGCCTGCAAGCAAAAAGCCAGTAAAAGCCAGGAATGGTGGTGGCACATGCTTACAATTCCAGTGCTGGGGCAGCAGAAAGGTGGATCCCTGGGGCTCCCTGGTCAGCATCTCTAGCCTAACCAGTGAATCCCAGGACACGCAAAGTCCCTGTCTCAAAAATTAAGGTAGGCAACTGGAGGAATAACATCTGAGGTTGACCCCTGCCTTCTACACCCATAATGTGTGATAACCCTGCACAAGCACACTCACAACAGACTAATAGGAGATCTAGCTCAGCTGGAAGAGGGCACAAATCTCTAAGTTTAATCCCCACTGTCACATAAAATGAGGCATGGTAGTATATGCCTGTAATTCAGCAGAAATATTAGGGGTTCAAGGTCATCCTCATCCTGAGCTTGAGGTCAGCAGCCTGGTAAACATGAGATCCTCTCAAATAAAATAAAGTCACCAGGGGACTCACTGCCATATATGGCAAAATTTAACTCTTTAACTCAAGTCCCTTTTCTGATTATACTTTTGTTTGTTTGTTTGATACTTGCCCTGAGTAAGGATTTTACCATCTAGCTCTAGCTGTCCTGGGTCTCTCTTGTGTAGGCCAGGTTGGCTAGAACTGAGCTCTATCTGCCTCCCAAATGCTGGGAGTAAGGGCATGACCACCATACCCAGCCCCAGCATTCTTTTTACTTTCCACTTAGAGACAGGGTCTCATTAAGTCGTTCAGACTGGCCTTAAATTTGCTCTGTAGGCTAGTCTTGAACTTGTGATCCCCTTGCCCAAGCCTCCTGAGTAGCTGGGATCACAGGGCTCTAGCTTACTCTCCCTTTGTTCTGGGATTCCAGGGCACAAATCTGTTATAAGACCAAGGAAACAAAGGGTGTCACAATCCTACAAGGAGACACCTTGATTTAGCCAACTTCTTAGGAGCTCAAAGTGCCTCTGAAAAACATCTTTATTCAACACAGGACAGAGAAATAATTTCATCCATGGTAGAGGATAACATAAAAAGGCTATAGATAGCAGCCAGGTGTGGTGGTGTGTTTGATCCCAGCACTTGGGAGGCAAAGGCAAGCAAATCTGTAAGTTTGAGGCCAGCCTGGCTTACAAAGCGAGTTCCAGGACATCCAAGACTGTTAAACAGAGACACCCTGTCATTCCAGGCATGGGTGGCACAAGCCTTTCGTCTCAGCACTTGGGAGGCAGAGGCAGGTGAATCTCTGTGAGTTCAAGGCCAGCCTGGTCTATCAAGCTAGGTCTAGGACAGGCTCCAAAACAATACAAACCCTGTCTCGAAAAATCAACCCCCACACCCAAAAAGGCTAGATACCCTGCCTACCTCCATCCCACTTCAATGACCTATCTTCTCATTACAATGCTCACCCATACCTTTTTCAAAGACTGAGCTCATGTGGTGACTGAGGCCTGTAATCCAGCTCTCGAGAAGCTGAGGCAGGAAGATTTCTTTAAATTCAAAGTCAGTATGAGCTACTTAGTTCCAGGACAACCTGGGTCAGAAAGCTAGATCCTATTTTAAAAGAAGAAAAAATGTTAAGATTGAATATCAACCTGGCAGTGTGATGTTGGCAAAAATAGGCTGTCCATCCACATTGAGGGATGGCACAAACAGTTCCGTTTGGTTAACCAGAAGTCCATCATGAGTCCCCGCATCCCTGAAGAGCCAAAGATGACCTGTCAATACAAGCAAAGAATGTTAAGAAGTCACTCTGGTCTGAGTAAGTCACCTGTTTATTACCCCACGTCACATGAAACACTTGCCTCTTGCTCTGCTTAATGTTCTAACAAAGCCCTTCTAAAAGAGGAGCATGACAACAGCATTTCCCCTGAATGATGATCCCTTACCCATGAGAAAGCAGGACGAAGAGAGATGACATACTGCCTGCAAAAAGACAGACAGAAGAAAGTCCATGCCTGTGCTCTGCAACCATGGTGGGAAAGTACATCTAGGGCAAGGAAGCGCTGGCAATCTCACCACATACTTCAAGATGTGAGAGGCCACTGGGTCTCCAGCCCAGGAGATGTAAAAGTAGGGCACTGACTTTAGGAGGCTATAGAAAGGGTCTGGTGGTGGTGGTACACACCTTTAATCCCAGTGCTAGGAAGGCAGAGGCAGGCAGATCTCTGTGAGTTTGATGCCAGCCTGGTCTACAGAGGGAGTTCTAGGACAGCCAGAGCTACAAAAGGAATCCCTGTCTCCAACCAAAAGGCCATAGAAAGACTTGTGGGTAAGAACAGACAAACTAACTTGAAAAATAGACAAGGGCTTGACTCTGGAAGGGGCTGAGTGAGAAGGGGCAGGAAGGATCTTCATGGTGATGGAAAAGTTCTCATTTCTAAGTTCATCTAGATTATTGCTGCAATTGCCAAAATCTCTGCACCTTGAAGTGTAGATTTATACCTTCACTTTTAGAAAGAGGGTAGGTTCAGCATCAAAGGAAAGGAGGCAAACCTTAGAAATAAGTCTGCCTGGGAGAATACAGCAATCTTTCATGACACAAACTTCCTTGAAGACTTAATGGGTGTTTTGTTTTGCTAGGCACTGAATCCCAGGCCTCCCACCTGACAGGAAGTGCTTTATCACTAACTAGAAACCCAGCTCAAACCCAAGAAAAACTTTGTTGAGACAGGGTCTCATTGTGTAGCTCAGGCTGGTCCCAAACTCATGGTAATCCTACTGCCTCAGCCTCATTAACACTTGCATCACAGATATGCACCATCATACCTGCCTTAATTCTTTTTATATAAAATTAGACACAGGACTGGAAATACTGCACAATGGTAGAGTACCTTCCTAGCCTGAGTGAGGGCCTAGGTTCAATTCCTAGCAGTAACCAACCCCGGCACTCCAAAAAAAGTTAAAATCAGGCACAGATAAATCTTGTCTAACACAAAATTTAACAAGTAAAATAGTAGACTACAGAAATTGATTCTTGTTGTGTTCTTCCTCATCCAACATTAGAAGTTTGGTATAAAAGACAGACTGCTACATGCTGAGGGCCTATTTCAAACAAAAAATAAACAAAACAAGTAGGGGCTGGGGAGATGATGGTTCAATGGTTAAGAGCACTTGTCACTCTATTATAGAGGACCAAGATTTGGTTCCCAGCATCCACACAGTGTCTAACAACCCTTTGTAACTACAGTTTCTGGGGATCAGAGACCCTCGCCTGGCTTCTATAAGCACATCATATACATGACACAGACATACCCTTAAGGGAAACAAAGTAGACTAGAGCTTGACAGATGCTTGCCTACCATATGAAAAGCCCTGGGTTCCATCACTAGCACTGAAAAAGCAAAAGTGCTGCATTACAAACATCTAAGAAATTTCTTCTCTCCTCTATATATCATAAAGATAATTTGAGAAGCATTAGTTTATTTCATCTTATCGTATGTTCTTAAACCAGGGTATCATGTAGCCCAGATTGGCTTGAACTCCTAATCATCCTGCCTCCACCCTGTTCTCCCATGTTGCTTCAAGTTTGTAGCACCATGCTCAACTGCATGAGTCTATTAAATGTACCACAATCAAGAGAGAATGCCTTCAAGAGCCTCCCTGGATGTATGGGGTATGAAAAGTAAATGGTTCTGTTCGCATGTGAAATCCCAGGACTCAAGAGGCTGAGGCAAGAAGGCTGCCCCAGGTTTTTTGTTTGTGGTGTCTCAATGCTCTACACCAAGACCACAGCAACTCTTACAGTATTGGGGCTGGCTTACAGTTTCAGAGGTTCAGTCCATAGTCAGCATTGGAGGAAGCATGCTGGCGTCCAGACAGACATGATGCGGAGAAGAAGCTCAGAGTTCTACATCCAGATCCACAGGCAGCAGGCAGAGGGAGTCTGGGCCTGTCTTGGGCTTCTAAAACCTCAAAGCCCACAGCAGTGACAGACTTCCTCCAACAAGGCCACATCTCACTAATTCTTTCAAATAGAGCCACTCTCTGGGCATTCAAATACATGCGCCTATGACGGCCATTCCTATTCAAACCACCACAGTTTGCTTGGTCAAAATTGTGTTTCCTTTTTTCACGTGATTGCAGGTATTTAGGACATCAGATCCCTGGAGCTGGAGTTACAAGGAACTTGTGAGTTGCTTCACACAGGTGCTGGGAACCAAACTCTGCAAAGAGCAGTAGGAGCTGGGCTTAGTGACAAAGGTCTTTATTTTAATCCCAGTTTTCAGAAGACAGAGGAAATCGGGTCTCTCTCTGAGTGAGACGCAAACCTGGTCTACAATTCCACATCACACGAAGTCTATCTTTGTTTAAGATGCAATCTTGCTGGGTAGGCATCAAACTCACTGCAATCTCCTGTCTTGGCCTCCTGAGCTTCACTTGCTCTTCATAACCATCTAGGCAGGACCTTGATGGAACTTTTCTTCACTAACTGTGGTACGGTTAATAAGCGCACACGGTAGAAACCTGAAATCCCGGCATTCAGTGGTGGAGGCAGCAGGGTCAGGAATTCAACCCAGTATCCCATATATACCAGTCTTGGGCCAAGACTCCAGTTCCCGTAGGCGATCTCCCCCCACCCCCCCACAACTGTCACCTCCCTCGGCTGGCTCTTAATTCTACTCACTTTCTTCTGGGTGGCGTACTCCTTACCAGAACGCACCCGCACTCTGCCCACACTTTCACAACCCTCTCAGCCCGGTTCCTATCGCAGCAATTATGACACGGGCTGACTCTTGTCTGTTCATACATTTGTGCCCCTCCAGGTTGTCACCACGAAGTCAAGACTTCGGATGCAGAACCGGACCGGGAACTGGGGACACCGCGGCCGAAAGCACAGGTAGAGACCAGGTAAAAACATTGGGTAGGAACAAAGTGCTCAGGGTTAGAAAGAACGCACCGGGCCTGTTACAGCACCTGCGGCCTAGCGCACGGTTCGTACCTCGGTAGCTGTGGATGCGGCGGCCGGTACCCGGAGGCAGCGTCGGGTATGGCTGAGGCTCGCCGTCGAAGTTGAGCCACAAGGGGAGCACGACGCGCGGGCTGCGGTTGCAGAAGATGACCTGAGAGGGCTCGCGCGAGTTCACCGAGCGCAGCACCGGCAGCGGCCGCTCGGCCTCCATCTCTCCAGGACCCGGCTCTCCTGCCGCCTCCTCTTGATTAGCTGCCTTCCGGGGCATTATTGGAACTGACCGCCTCCGCTCACGCAAGCTGGACGTGGGCGGCGCGTGCGTAAGGACTTACGCGCTCCGGGGCAGGCCTGGACGTGCTCGTCCGACTTGAAACGCGGAAATGGCGGCCTAGAGCTCTCAAGCTGGGGGGCGGGGCCGCAGGCGGAGAGGCAGGTAGTGGGCGGGGCAGGCGGAGGGGCGGGGCTACGGGCGAGGCCGGCTTTGTGGCTATAAATTCTGCTTCTAAGAGTTGGGGTTTCTTGGGGTTTGTTCCTTCGGTTTGCTACCTTTTCTTAAAGGTAGGGTATTACTCTGTAGCCCTGGAACTCACTATGTAGTCCCGGCTGGTCTCGAACTCAAAAATCTTATCTGCTTCTGACTCCCGAGCCCATGGACTAAAGGCGTTTGGTTTTTTTGTAGACAGGATTTCCCTATAACATCTGGAATTTGATGAAGAGACTAAACTAATTTCGAAGAGTGAGCCTCCAGCCTCTCTGCCTTTAAAGTGTTGGGAACTATAGGTATGAGCCACCACACCTGACTTGGCCATAGTTTTTTGAGTTTCCTTAAATTTCATTTCTTAAGATCTGCATGGGTTTGCCGGGCGATGGTGGCCCAAACCATTAATCCCAGCACTCAGGAGACAGTGGCAGGTGGATCTCTGAGATCTCTGTAGGCCAGCCTGGTCTACAGAGCTAGTTCAGAAACCTGTCTCAAAAAAACAAATAGAAAAATATCTCCATGGGTTTGTCATATTCCCGACCACCACTACTATTTAAAGTTTTTCTTACTGAAGTTTGTTTTGTACTACAGGCAGAATACCAAAAAAAAAAACAAAAAAACAAAAAACAGTAATTTTCCCTGGTTTCCCATCAGTTTAGAATTCTCAGAATATGGTACTGCCAGTTTTTGTTTTTTTCAAAAGTGGTTCTTTTTTGGTTGTTTTCTTTTTTTCCAAGACAGGGTTTCTCTGGGTAGTTTTGGAGCCTGTCCTGAAACTAACCCTGTAGGAACAGGCTGGCCCCAAACTCAGAGATCCACCTGCTTCTGCCTCCCAAGTGCTGGGATCAAAGGTGTGCGCCACCAATGCCTGGCTCCTTTCAAAAGTTCTTATGCACGTGAATATAATTTTTTAAGTATTTTGTCATTTTCTTTTTGAGGCTAAATGCACAGCACCCAATTGGCTTGGAGTTCAATATATAACCCAGGCTGGCCTCAAATTAGTGTCAGTCTCCCTGCCTCTGCTTCACAAGTGTGGTATAGTTATGTGAAACCATGCCTGGTTCTAAGAATTAGTATGTAACTACTATCAAGGGACATTCACTACCATTTTGCATAGACATTTATGGCAGAAGTCAATGTCAAGAAAATAGCTGGTATTGTATTCCATTTACTGTCTATATTAGAGGCTGGCTGATCCAAAGACAACTGAAATTCAACATTTCTTCCAAATCACCTGAGTGCCTGTTGATAGATGGCAAGTGTCACAGTTGGAATCCTACCTGTCTCTATTTCATCTGTAGCTTCAGATTCTTTGATAAGCTTTTTTTTTTTTTAGTGCAAGTGTTTTGCACACTTGAGCATGTTGTGCATGTGTGTACACATCTAGTTCATCAAGGTGCAGGCAAACAATGGGGGTGGGGGTTGAAGGGGTTGGAACTTCTGCTAGGATTAAAGGCTTTCTGTATGAAAGGCAAGGGACCTACCTCTGAGCTACACTGCCTACACCAACATCAGCATTTTGTTCAAATATTAACATCATAAAAGTGTGGATTAAGTGTTCATGGTCCAGCACACACCTACTGAACAAATACCATGTTATTATTATAAACACCATCTCTACCTTCAGAATGCTGAAAGGCTACTGTGAAGTACATAGGACAACATGGAGTGGTGTGATGATGGTCACAAAGAATGTGAAAGGTGACTAGATGAGCCATAAAGATAAATAAACAGGGTCTCTTCCGTCTACTTAGGCTGCTGTAATAAGATAACTTTGACTGGGTAATCACCATGAGCAATATTAATTTATAGCTCACACTTTGACAAGGCTTAGGCAGTTGAAAATGCATTATCATGGGCTGGAGAAATGTCTAGTGGTTAAGAGTGGGTACTGTTCTGAGGACCCTAGTTCAGTTCTCAGCCCCCAGATTAGGTGGCACACAATTGCCTGTCACTCCAGGTCTGGAGGATTAATGTCATCTTCTGACCTCCACAGACATGTGCATGGCCCCTTCTACCAGACACAAACAAACATACATGATTTAAAAATAAATGTAGGGCTGGAGAGTTGGTTCCTCAGTTAAGAGCACTGGCTGCTCTTGTAGAAGATTCTGGTTTGATTTCCAGCACCCACATGGCATCACATAACCATATGGAACTGTCTCAGGAGATCTGATACTTTTGTGGCACCAAGCACACAGGTGGCACACATATATATCTGTAGGCAAAGAATACATATGAGATAGTAAAATAGGGGATGGAGTGATGGTTCAGCGGATAAGAACACTAGCTGCTCTTTTAGAGGTCCTGAGTTCAATTCCCAGCAACCACATGGTTGCTCATAACCATCTGTAACGAGATCTGGCCCTCTTCTGGCCTGCAGGTTACATGCAGACAGAACACTATGTGTATATATAATAAATAAATCTTTTAAAAAGATATTAAAATTAATAAAGACTAGAGAGATGGCTCAGCAGTTAACACTTACTGCTCTTTCAGAGGGAAAGGTCAGCTCCCAGCACTTACATCAAGTGACTCATAAGTGCCTGGAACTTCAGCTTCTGGAGATCTGACACTCTTCTGGTCTCTGCAGGTACCTCCCACACACACACATACCACACACACACACACACACACACACACACACACACACACACGTCAAAATAGAAGGGTGGAGAGCAAATAAGGAAGACACCTGACATCAACATCTGGCACCTGTATATATGCACATGCACAACCCCAGATATACCCCCCCAATAAAACAATGAAGCGATCCCCTGAAGACACACACTGCACAGTGGATAAAAACTCTTGCCTCATCACATACACCTGAGCACTGGCGTTCGACCTGGAACTATCCCATGAAGGAGAGAACTGACTATGACTCTTGAAACTTGTCTTCTGACCTCCATACACACACCATGGGGTGCACCCTCTCCCCCTCCCTCCCCTCCTACCCCCACAAAACTTTGTAGATGGCAACAGGCCCTCATGCTCACAGATTGAGAAACAGGAATGTTAATCATGCATGGGTGTCTCCTCAGAGGAGATAAATACCTGTTTTTCACCCAGAAAGCTGGGAGTGGATGTTGTTAATGACCTGGTGGCCTTTGCTATCTGTAGAACAGTCGTTCTCTAGGGTCAAAATGACCCCTTCACAGGGGTTACTTAAGCCCACCAGAAAATAGAGATATTTACATTGCTTTTATTTTGTTTGTTTGTTTGTTTGTTTTTGGTTTTTTTTCAAGACAGGGTTTCTCTGTATTGCTTTGGAGCCTGTCCTGGAACTAGCTCTGAGGACCAGGCTGGCCTTGAACTCACTGAGCTAGGCCTGCCTCTGCCTCACTGGTGCTGGGACTAAAGGCCTGCAACACCAATGCCCGGCTACATTATGACTCTTAAGAGTAGAAACATTACAGTTGTAGAGTAACAACGAAAACAGTTTTATGGTTTGGGGTCACCACTACAAGAGGAACTGCATTAAAGGACTGCAGAGGTTGGAAGAGCCACACCTCACCTGAATGCCCCAGAACATTTATCCCAGACTCTCCTTCCCTAGGCCTTTATCTCTAGATTCCTCAGTCAATAGAACCCAATCGTTAGGGGAGACAACACATATTCTTTATGGCCAGAGAGCACACCAGACCCCAGGCCCTTCGGCTACAGAACCCATCTTCATGGTAGAGGTCACATGTACTTTGAACTGAGTTTCCAAGTAAATATGCCTCCTTGTGCATTGGGGATTATATTATACCAGGAAGCTTTCCCCCCAAATTATACTGTTTAATATGCTTACAATTAGAAGGGTGGCGGTGGTCCATACCTTAAATCCCAGCGCAGATGTAGAGGCAGGAGGATTTGTGTGAGTTCAAGGCCGGTCTGGTCTACAGAGCAATTTGTAAGACAGCCAGGGCTACCCAGAAACACTATTTCCAAAAACAAACAAAATGCCCTTTTAAAAAAGATAAAGCACTGGGCAGTGGCGGTGCACATGCCTTTAGTTCCAGCACTGGGGAGGCAGAAATAGGTGGATCTGTGTGAGGCCAGCCAGGTTTACAGAGCAAGTTCCAGGACAGGCTCCAAAGGTACAGAGAAATGCTGTTTAAAAAAAAAACACCAAAAAATAAATCCAAACAAAAAAGGTAACACATTTGAGTATTCATGTATGACCTCAAGGGGGCCTTTTCTTGCCCAGATAGCCCATCATTTTGCCCTCTTACTATCTTGGCATGCATGTACCTACACATAGTAGGAACCACTGGCTATTACACCAACTGCACAGCATCAGGTAACTAACACAGCTTTACAAGTGTTTCTTCATCCATGGGGAAATGCAATGCAGACAATGGACTTGAGTGTCTGTTAAGGGCACTCTACAATGAGCTCATACTGAATAGTGGAAAGTGAGCTTACCCCATGAGGACATCCGAGTGTCTCCATTATAAGATGCTATTTTTAAAGGAAAACACTAAAGATCCCTTATGCAAAATGCCTGGAATCAGATGGGACCCAGGTTTATACATTTCATAAACCTTATCCAAAGCCTGAAGCTATTTACAGTATCTGTGTATGTGTATGTGTTTAGGCCAGACTAGACCTTGGTTATCCTCCTCTCCTTTTCCACCTTGCTTTTTGTAGTCTCTCACTGGACTTGGAGCTTTGATTTTGCTAGACTGACAAGCTCCAGGGACCCTCCTGTCTGTGCATCCTCCACACTGGGATTATAGGACTGCACCAGCCTGAGTTTTATGTGAGTGCTGGGGATCCAGCTCAGGTCTTCGTACTTCCCAGCTCCTTCATACAGATGTTTAGGCTGCCTGTTTTGATTGCAATTTACCATGTCCCTTCCCTTAG